TTTCATACATGTAAGTAGCTGAAGTCTTGGTTAATAAGTTAGGTTCCACATTCAGAAAAGAAAGTTTCTGTCACTGTGACCTTTTGTATCTGCTTTTATAATCAATGTGATCAAAGCAGTCCTCCTGTCATGGGACAGGATTCCCTTCTGGAATATTTCCACAAGACTGGAGACAGCTGTTGCAAAAAACATATTTTAAAAAGCTGCAGGAAATCTGTCTGTAACTGATGCTTTTCCCAAGTTTTAAGTCTTGAAAGAATTTTCTGTTTCCTGTAAGTACATGTCTCTCTTCATCTGATGTATCTGCTTATAGAGGGGAATCTTTTCAGTGTGAGTTTTTCACTGATGTTTGTATAAAATCACTTTGGTTAAAATTATCTTTTTCTGAATCTGTTTGCCAATGTATTCGTCTGTGACAAACTACCATTGAGTCATAAGCTTCTATGTCAAGGGGGTCATTATGGTCATCCCATCTGACCTTGGGTATAAGACAGCACAGTTTCAGTTGTTCCTATAGATATCCTGTTGCTTCTGGCTAACGTGCTCATCCTTCAAGAGGGACAGATTTCCGGGGGATTAGACTGCCCCTACTAGGACTACAAAAAACAGGGAAACTACTGAGTAGTTCAGGTGACTCCTTCTGAATGTCCTGGTTCTGTCACATCTGTGTTCTACATGCTTATTTCTGAAAACTAACTAGTCACAGTTAATTTTAGTCCTAAATTAGTCCCAGTTGGTCCCTAATTAGTCCCAATTCTAACTAGCCCCAGATAATTTTCCATTTATTCTTTTTTAAAATATTGCTGTCTGTAAATTACCCAGCAGCAACATAGGAAGTGCAAGGATACTGAAAATACTGGTTTTGTGTCAGTTTTACAGTGCCGCCAAAAGTGGTGTCATCTAAGCACTGCTCTGTGGCGAGATATACTGATGTGGTTCCAGGGAATTTATATGTACTGAAATCACACAGCGTGTGAAGAAGCACAGGTTCCTTGCCTGTGGGCTGGCCATCTATTTTCACAACTCTGAAACTCCATTTCTTTCTTCTGTTGTTAGCAGTATGTTGCTATTCCTTCACTCCCACAGTTTGGAGGTAAATGATGATCCTTCAGGACAGATCTCTGCAGTTTTGCTCCGTGCTTCACTGAAGCATAAAATGTGGTGTACATTGATTGACTCCATTGCTGTGGTTTTCTTTCCAGGCACATAGCTGCATACTCTTCCCAGCGCAGCATCCCAAATCTGTGGGAACTCTGGAAAGGGTTTATCAGTCTAAAGAGCTTTGTGCCCAAAACTTGCATACCAGAACCATTTTGCAGTGAACAGGGTTCAGAGTTATTTACCCTATGAAGCATTTCACAGGCTGTTGAGCACTCCCACTAGTGCATCATAAGCTTTCTGTTTTAACATCCTGAGCCTTCTCCTTACATGTCCTCCACTATCTCCAAACTTTGCATTTCCTTCCATTTTTATCTCTTTTTTTGTGACAATACAGTAAAGAAAAGAAAGACTGTTGCCAAGTTTGTTTACTTTGCACTTAATAATTCTAAATTCAAAATCTGTGGTGATAAATACAGCATATATGTTTTTAATTTGACCTGATGGATAACAATGTCCTGGGATCTTCCAGCACTCCCTAGTAAGAAGTTCTTACTGCAGTCTTGTTTTCTGTTATGAGAGATAAATCACATCTATTTTAGTCTCTATTTCTAAATCTCAATTTATTTGATTCAGAAAGAATGAAGAGCTTTCCTGTCTCTCAAACTTAAATAATTAAGTCTGTTCATAGATTAATTTTCCATAGCCTGTCGACTCTTCTAATAAGGTCTTGTACTGTAGGTTCTTCTTCAAAAAGAATGTAGAATAGCTTTAAGTGGCTGAACTGTGATTAACCTGTGGGTCCACATGATTGACAGAAACATTCATCTTATCCTATTTTCAAATGAAGGTTCAGACCCTATTGGAAAGCTATACTTTAAGAACAAGCTAGTGGACTTAATTCAGGTATAACCAAATAATGTAGCAGTATTTATCAGGTCAAATTTCCAGATGTATAAAAATAATCAGTTCATAAGTTTTTTGCTTTTTTTCTTGTAGTTGTTGTTGTCCATTTCTGTAACTGTGAAAGAGGTGCTATAGATTTCAGATAAGGTGAGTAGAAGCCAATTAGGGAAAAGAGAATCCCAGATTTTAAGTGCATTACAGTGTCTTTAGAAAATAGGCCACCTGAAAAGCTTTCAGAACTAATTGCTCCTGAAAGTGGAATGGCTATTACTTACTGCCACAGGGTCCTCTGATCTTCCTGTGAATCTACATGAGTCCGTTTATTAATGTTTGCTTTAAAAATGAAGTCCTTCTGCCCTTTTTTTTTTTTTTTTTCTGATGTTCTCAGTACTTAGAGTAGTAAAGACTGAAAAACAAATGAGATTATCTGTGACTAATATTTTAATCCAGAGCCCTGGAATTCCTTGTGCACTATTTGAGCTGTTGCACAGCAGGCTGACTGCAGACACGGCATCTCTGTGTTTCTCAGAGACCTACTACTGAATCTATTTCTGAGACTTACCTGTTCTGTAAAGGTTAGTGTATGTAGGAAAGGTTTTAACAGCTTTTCATTGCAATTTCACCTAATAATTCTTTCCCAACACTGAGTGTGGATCCAGAGAACATTAATAAATGTAAATACTGAATGAAATACATGGGTAAGCGTGAAATCCTACAAACACTGAAGAGAAACATATTAACAGGTAGATATATTTGCCTTACAGAAAATACCTTGTGTTTTCCCAAATTTTCACAGTTCCCTTGAGAGTCCTATCATGTATCTGTTCAAAGCAACAACTCCCTATTTGTATTTACTTTATTTTGCATACAGGCAATGGAGTCCATGCAATGTGAATTTTAGGAACTTAACAAACCAGTCCTCCTAAAGTGGTTAAGTTACCATTTTTATCAGTTGAGAGGTTTTCTTTAAATTCAAAGGAGCGAGAGTCTGTATTTGAAAGAGTACGATAAAGCATTGTCTTAACTCCATATACCTCTCTAAAGGGGTCTTGAAAAATCACTTAGGAACTTAGCTGTGTCTGACATATCTCTCACAAAGACTTCTGTGTTTATCACTGGGCTATACATGACAGGAAAAGATCACATTATGGGTTTGTTCAAAATGTTTTTCTCTGCCTGATTCTTGTACCCAGGTAAGTCTGGGATATCATGTTGAGAAAAGTTTTTGTAAGTGATGTCCTAAAAAGTATCGGTGGTGTGCCTGATGTGCTCATTCTTGAGGTACTGAAACACAAGTTTATGCTTTGTGTCTTCAACAAAAAAGGTTGAATCCTGTCTTCTGGTGTTCACACCAGTTCCACTAAAAAGTCTTGGATAAGAGTTCTCTGAAATCAAAGAAAGCATAAGTGTCCTATATATACAAACAAGCATTTTGCAAATAGGAACAGCATGCGATGGTGGATATATAACTCATCTGAACAATAAAGACTACATGAAGCACTGTATCTAGTGCAAAGTTCTCCTCAAGTCTTTGCAACATGTCCCCATTTTTTCCTACTTCTTGCTTAGCTCAAATACATTTTAGATTTGTGCGATGGGGATTCTTACTGTGAAATGGGCTTTAAGCAATTTTCATCGGCAAAACATCCGAAAAGTGCTGTAGGAGAGTGATTAATCTTGTGGGCTTTACATGCCCCCTGGTGGAAAGCCCTCAGTGTAGCCGTAAGGATTTAATGCAAAAACATCGCTTGTAAACAGATGTGTGGTTCATGAAACTCATTCTCATTTGAGGCACTGCACCATTATCGGTGTATAGCCCATGAATAAGAACACACAAGATCCCAAGTTACAAACGAGCACCTGGACTCATTTAAGTGCTGCTAGCATGATGTACACTGCTCGTACGATATAAATTGCTGGCCTAAAATTTCTTGCAGGCAAACGATGCCAAGCTCTTAATATATATAAAATGAACTCTAGTAACTTAAGCAAAATAATCACAATTTTCCCCACAGTCTTTCCAGGATTTCAATCTGGAGGGTTTTGAAGGATACACAATACCTTGTTACAAACCATATAATGTTTTAAAAAGTATCCAACTGACAACCTTGGCTAACATTGTATCTTCTATCTAGATTACTTCAATATGTCATGTCCGTATCACACCACTCTGTCCATGGTCCCAATGCCAAGGATTTCTGTCATGTCCAACCTTTCCATCTGGAAGCAATGAGCTTAATATTCTGGCTCTACCCCCATAAAAGCTATGTCACAGAAAAGTAGCAGTCTTGCGAACTGTTGTATACCCTGAAGACAAATTTGAGATCCACATAGCCTCTCGAAGTTCTACTCAGATTCAGTTAAAGACAAGTTTTCCACTCTACTCCCATAAGACCTCCATCATACCATAACACTGTAAGAGCGATTTGACAACCATTTATGTTTAAAACCTGTCCTAGGCATGTCAAAGGGCTGTGTTTAGCAGATAATGAAGGGCTAGGATGTTCCTTTGGGGCAAAACACATTGTGTTGTAAGCTTTGCTGTTAAGAGGCTGTTATTTTCATTGTGATTCCTCTGAAAGCCTAAACCAAAGAGAAATAGAAGTTTTTTGTTTTCAGGTCTTTTCTCATCTGGTTTAAAGCCAAGGCAACCTATCTAGGAGCTCATTATACCTATGGAGAAAAGGATGAGGCAGGTATTGCCCATCAGCTTGAGCTGTAGCTCTGACTCAACATTCATCAGCACAGCCTGGCATCCAAGAGGAAGGGCAGTGATCCCTTCTCTGCTGCTGGGTGGAGGCATGGAGGCCCATTCTGAGCATGTTTGCTTTAATTTTTTTTATATATAAATATTTTTTTTTTTTATCGCAGGGTGAGAAAGGAGGGACATCAAAGGTTTTATAAGTGATGTCCTAAGAAACATCAAGAACTACCAAAACACTGACTCTATGTTGTTTTCATTTTCTCATGAGCCATTTTTTTGTTCCTTTTTCTAGTATTCTCAGCAGTTTGCAAAAACTGGAATCCTGAGCCAAAATGTGACAGTATTCCTCAGGCACCTCACCCAGGCTGCATAAATTTACAGAGGGAAAGTTATCTCACCTACCTTAGGCACCTATTTTTAGTTGGGATGAATCTTCCACTGGAAGTGCCTCTCTCCCCACAGTAACTATAGACAATGATAGCCTTGAAATAATATCTAAATAACTAAAATAAAGCAATATCAGTCTCATTTTTTGATGCCAGGATTAAAACCAGCACTTGCTGAGTCAGCTTTTAGGTCTCTTTTATTCTTATATCATTATAAGAACTCATTTTCTAATTCCTTGACTATTTTAATTACATTTAAATTGAACTTATTAGCATTTAAATGAAACTTCATTCAATGCCTCTCAAAATAGAAATCAATTTTAAGAATTACTTACTCTGCAGTAGGAAAATGTGCACATACAGGTGAATTAATTGTATGTTCTTAGAATCATTACTATACTCTTGCTGGCCAGAAAAAAAGATGAAGAATTGAAAAATGCAGTTGTTCTGAAACCAAAATGCTTTGCTCGACCCTATTAGATTTACTGAAATAAATTTTGGCAGATAGGCATATTCTGACATTGCCAAAATGTCCTGTTTTATAATTTTGGAACTGGGTATCTAATATGTCTTTTCAAAATATTTTTTCATGTTTAATGTTCTTATGATGTGTTTCATTTTGTGTTCTCAATACAATTAAAAAGTCAACCATAATCAAAAGTTTCTGAGACATCTCAGTTGATACAACACATTTTTCTTAAAACTTTCTCTTCCAAATAATTTCAGAATTTTCAGAAGTTGTGCCTAACTGGCCTAAGATCAAATTTGGAAATCCTCTGCAAATTTATTTTCTGCATAGGTTTGATTTATTGCTGATATGCCACCAAAAGTGTGTCAGCCATAAACCTCTTAAAGAGCTGAAAGGAAAAGAGATTCACTGTTCCTCAGAGAGGACTTTACACTTACTGGGCCAGGACTTAAAATCTGTTTCCACCACTGCAAGACTACCCAGTACCAAAACACTTTTCTTCAAGTGAAGCTGAGGAGAAATTGGTGGTAATTTTTATGTCACCTTGCACAATTTAAAGAGTTTAGAGGATATAAGATGAAATATTATAATCTCTGAAAATACAGATGTTAGTTTATAACATTAAAATGCCTGACTGGTTAAAGTTCGTAGTAGCTCTCATTTGCTTCTGTAAAGTGCATCTTCAAGAAATCAGAAAGTAAGTATTTCTTCATAGCTGTAGATTCCAAGGCATGGGGTTTGATATGTTTATTTATTAGCATTGGTCTGTGTAGCAGTGTCTTCAAATACAAATTTGCTATAAGAAGCCAGATCCCTCAGCCCATTGAGTCAATTTTGTGCTACTTCATAGCTCGCTTCATAGCAGTGGAAAATGATGTGTACCATCTGGAGGGTTCTCCTGAATATTTTCTCTGTGAAGATGGTTGCTTTAAAGCCAGCAGAGATGTCTTCACTATCTCTGACACCTCTGCTGTGCTGCCTGGCATGAGAGAAAATGGTGTATTTACAGAGAAGACAGAGAATGTGGAGAGAAAAGCATTTTTGCTGCTTGATTTTCCACTTTTCAGCCAGTCTTCCCTTCTTTCCTAACTAGCAAACTAGAACTCAGCCTAAAATTGTTCCCTAACACTTAGACATCTCTACTTTTTGCTGCTTTCCAGGTCACTAGTTACACTTTCCTCCTAGGAATGGGTCAACACAGGTGATTAACTCCCATGCTGAGGTGTCACCTTGACTACAGATGGACTCTGCAGGGGGACAGGCATCTCCCTGTGACATCCTCTGGCAGGCTGAGTAAAGTAAAGCAGGCTCTTATGGTTACAGCAGCCCTCAGTCTATCTGCAGCTCCTTGCTTTTGACAGCTCTTTAAGCTTTACTTTACTCAGACCGCTCCAGAATCTACCATATCATCAAAACTGAAGACCTTCAAAAACCTAGTAATTCTTCCCTTCACCTGCAACACACATACTCACATGTGAATTCACAATATTAATGAAAGGTAATTTTCAAGCTTTTTTTCAATGTCATGATGATCTTGTCATGTCCTAAAATTCCATCATAGAAGAAAGCAAAAAAACCACTGTCCCTTTCCAAAAGAATTTATAGTACTAGTATAATGAAAGAAATATAGGATAGAAAGGTGGAAAGAATAAAGAAATAATTAGGCAAACTTATATTTGGTAAAATGCATTAGCATAATCTCTAAGAAACAAGATAAATGTTCCTGCTTCATTTGGCCTTCCTACCTAGTATAGAATAATAGAATCATAGAATCATATAATAGTTAGGGTTGGAAAGGACCTTAAGGTCATCTAGTTTCAGCCCCCCTGCCATAGGCAGGGACACCTCACACTAAACCATGTCACCCAAGACTGTCCAACTTGGCCTTGAACACAGCCGGGGATGGAGCATTCACAACTTCCTTGGGCAACCCATTCCAGTGCCTTACAACCTTTACAGTAAATAACTTCCTCCTTATATCCAATCAAAACTTCCCCAGTTTAAGTTTTAGCCTGTTACCCCTTGTTCTATCACTACAGTCCTCAGTGAAGAGTCCCTCCCCAGCACCCTTATAAGCCCCCTTCAGATACTGGAAGGCTGTGCTGCCATCCAGAGAGACCTGGACAGGCTGGAGAGTTGGGCGGGGAATAACTTGATGAAATATAACAAGGGAAAGTGTAGAGTCCTGCATCTGGGCAGGAAAAACCCCAGGTTCCAGTATAGATTGGGGAACGACCTGTTAGAGAGCAGTGTAGGGGAGAGGGACCTGGGGGTCCTAGTGGACGACAGGGTGACCATGAGCCGACACTGTGCCCTTGTGGCCAAGAAGGCCAATGGCATCCTGGGTTGTATTAGAAGGGGGGTGGTTAGTAGGTCGAGAGAGGTTCTCCTTCCCCTCTACTCAGCCCTGGTGAGACCTCATCTGGAATATTGTGTCCAGTTCTGGGCCCCTCAGTTTAAGAAGGACAGGGACCTGCTGGAGAGAGTCCAGCGCAGGGCAACTAAGATGATTAAGGGAGTGGAGCATCTCCCTTATGAGGAAAGACTGAGGGAGCTGGGTCTCTATAGTTTGGAGAAGAGGAGATTGAGGGGTGACCTTATTAGTGTATATAAATATATAAAGGGGGAGTGTCACGAGGATGGAGCCAGGCTCTTCTCAGTGGCAAACAATGAAAGGACAAGGGGAAATGGGTACAAACTGGAACACAAGAGGTTCCACTTCAACCTGAGAAGAAACTTCTTCTCAGTGAGGGTGACAGAACACTGGAACAGGCTGCCCAGGGAGGTTGTGGAATCTCCTTCTTTGGAGCCATTCAAAACCCGCCTGGACACATTCCTGTGTAACCTTATCTAGGTGTTCCTGCTCCGGCAGGGGGATTGGACTAGATGATCTTTTGAGGTCCCTTCCAATCTCTAACATACTGTGATACTGTGATACTGTGAAGGCTGCTATGAGGTCTCCACGCAGCCCTATCTAGGCTGAACAGCCCCAACTTTCTCAACCTGTCTTCATATGGGAGGTGCTCCAGTCCCCTGGTCATCCTCATGGCCCTCCTCTGGACTTGTTCCAACAGTTCCATGTCCTTTTTTATGTTGAGGACACCAGAACTGCACACAATACTCCAGGTGAGGTCTCACAAGAGCAGAGTAGAGGGGCAGGATCACCTCCTTCGACCTGCTGGTCACACTCCTTTTGATGCAGCCCAGGATATGGTTGGCTTTCTGGGCTGCGAAAGCACACACTGCTAGCTCATGTTCATTTTCTCATTGGCCAGCACCCCCAAATCATTCTCCGAAGGGCTGCTCTGAATCTCTTCTCTGCCCAACCTGTAGCTGTGTCTGGGATTGCTCCGACTCAGGTATAGGACCTTGCACTTGGCATGGTTAAACTTCATGAGGTTGTCATCAGCCCACCTCACAAGCGTGTCAAGGTCCCTCTGGATGGCATTCCTTCCCTCCTACGTATCAACTGAACCACACAGCTTGGTGTCATCAGCAAACTTGCTGAGGGTGCACTCAATCCCACTGTCCATGTCAGCGATGAAAATGTTAAAAAAGATCGGTCCCAACACCGATCCCTGCGGGACACCACTCGTTACTGGTCCCCACCTGGACATTGAGCCATTGACCACAACTCTTTGTGTGCGGCCATCCAGCCAGTTCTTTATCCACCAAGTGGTCCACCTATCAAATTGATGTCTCTCCAATTTAGAGACAAGAATGTTGTGGGGGACAGTGTTGAACACTTTGCACAAGTCCAGGCAGATGACATCAACTGCTCTACCGCTGTCCATCAGTTCTGTAGCCCCATCATAAAAGGCCACCAAATTGGTCAGGCAGGATTTCCCCTTAGTGTAGCCATGCTGGCTATCACCAAGCACCTTGTTGTTTTTCATGTGCCTTAGCATGCCTTCCAGGAGAATCTGCTCCGAGATTTTGCCAGGCACAGAGGTGAGACTGACTGGTCTGTAATTCCCCGGGTCATCCATTTTCCCCTTCTTGAAAATGAGGGTTATATTTCCCTTTTTCCAGTCGTTGGGAACTTCACCTGACTGCCATGATTTTTCAAATATGATGGAAAGTGGCTTAGCAACTTCATTTGCCAGCTCCTTCGGTACCCATTGACTGCTAACCTGCCCTGAAACAGAGTTCCACACACTCCAGCCTATCCCTAACATAAACAGTAACTCCCCCTCCATGTCTGCTGGCCCTGTCTTTTCTAAAGAGCCTGTAACTTTCCATTCCAACACTCCAGTCATAGGAGCCGTCCTACCATATTTCTGTGATACCTATTACATCATATTCCCATAGACATGTACACATTTCTAATGTATGCCTGTCTTTGCTGGAGTTCGGTGGGTTTTTTGAGAGTGACCATGTTCACTCTCAGCATTTTTATAAAAAGAGAGTGGATTAAATGACCTTGAGCACAAATGTGTCCAGAATTAAAATTATTTATTATAATGATTGAAATTATCCTAAAGGTGGCTTGGAGTTAAGATGATAGTTACACGAAACTGCTTGAAGAGCATGGAGCTACCTCTGAATTTTCTTATGATATCCAATTATTTGGATATTTTGCTAAGCAGGTTACATTTACGTACTACTGTTGAAATCTGAGTACAACTGCTGTTCAAGTTTCATCTAATTTTTCAAGACTGTCTTTCAGAGGAAATGGAACCTCATGTGATTTAACTGTTTGGGGAGGCAAAGGGGGGTTAAATTCAGTAAATTTATGTTCATTATAAACAAATCCAAATTCCTAGCTAGTATGGTATGACTAACATATGTCACATACTACAGCATGTCTGCTGTACCCTTTAACATTTTAACAGTCCATCAGACATTAATGTGACTTAAACATCAAAAACAGGTTCATTTTGCCATTAATATCCTGAAACAAGAACATCTAATATACACATCCTGAGATTTAATCTGTAAACATAACCAAAAATGTCTGGATGAAGGGGCCTTGTTTATATTTCAGTAGTGCTACTTCCATGAAGCATGTGTCTGCTATCTTTAGTATGCAGCTCTAGCATCCTACCATTGAGAGAGCCCTAGTGTCTTTGGTACTGTTAGGGAGACTTATAAGTCTTCTGCTGACAAACCAGTCCCTTTGTAGATTCCCTAAAGTTAAAGCTACTGATAAACATAACTTGTCTTATAAAAAAATAGAAGAATTTTAAAACCACTTCAAACATACTCAGGATTTCCATATTCTTTTTTTCCACAGTGTGAAAGCAGGTTTGGAAGTGCTCTGGAATTAAAAGGGTATGCTTCTTTTTACCAAAGTAATGACTTGTTTAATAAATAAGTAGGGAAAAGGAAAAAATGTGCAGAGAAATGCAGAGTGACAAAATAAGAATATCTGGATCAAACTTAATGAAATGCAAATGAACTTTCAATCCAGTCAAATCCTTTTGTTTATTTTTCTATCATTATTCAATACTCAGTTCTTGCGTTGATGAATTCTTAAGGAGGTACATTTTTTAGGAATTAATGTAGGACAAAACATATGTGCACTAATAGTCTCCAAACACGCTGTATGTATCAACTGTGTTAGAAGTGAGTGAAGCCACTACAGTCAAGAAGATAATGAGGAAAAACCAGAAGAAAAAAAGCAACAGTTATACCCTTTGATATCTGCTAGATTGTTTAATCCAGCTCTTACGTAGATAAAACCACAATGTAATTGCTATAGAGTGAACTGCATTAGCAACTATGGCCTTGGAAAACCATCCAGATGCATTCAAGGTCTGAAGTACAAATGCATGCTTCAGTGAAGGCATGTCTTAAATCAGTCATTGCACTGGTGGAATTTGTCAACAGCATGATTTTTGAAGAAAAATGCAGATTCATCTGAACTTTTTACAGCAGTGCATGTGTTTCCATTAAATATTTGTCAGGACGGTTTTGCAAGCTGAGGCTGGAATTTCTCATCAAAACCAGGGAAAAAGAATCCTTTCTCAAAATAGCTAATGGCATGTGAAACTCCTTTGGCATAGAAAAACAAGAGCAAGGACTTCAGTATGG